TTTTTTTTTTTTTTTTTTTTTTTTTTTTTTGACTTGAGTGAAACAAATTTAAAATTATTTTTAAGATGTCTCCAGTGTAGACAAACACAGGAGTTGACCTCAAGCCTTCCAAATCCAGGGTCTTCCTTTTCAGTCACTTCCTTTAGCCACACTACCAAACTGTCTTAGGTTCCCTTCTGTAAAAAGTCAAATATGTGCCTTCCTGGAATTGGTCAATTCTTTGAATAATTGTGGCAGGGAACAGAGAGAATAAACGCTACTTGTATCATAGGATTATTAAGGGTCTTAATATTTGAGAAGAGTTTGGAGAGTCGTCTTTTGTTATTACCAGTTTCATTGTCTTCGTCCCTTCAAAATTCTATATAACAAAAATAAAGCAGACTTTACTCCTCTTTGCAATTGATTAGCCTTCTTGACATCTAGTTAACTGAAATTCAGAGTTGAAGTACTCCTACTTTGCTGGAATGCAACTGAAGGTTTACCTACAAGGGGGATTTGCTGTGAAGTAAACAAAGTAAATTTACTGCATGCTAAGTGTGTGCATAAGACCATTGGACTGGAAAAGGACTTTTAAGCCATCAGGTGTAGTCCTTTGCATTTACAGATCACCATTTTCTCTCTGGACAGACTGACTACGATCACGAATGCATTTTTCCCCCATCCATTTGCGGAGTTACTATTGAGCTGTTAGTGTGCTGAAAATTTACAAGCTTGATTTATTTCATGACAACTTCCCATATAGACAACCCCTAAGAAACATTCAAGTCTCAAGTGCCTGAGCTTTTCTTCCCTATGGAGAGATTTTGATTGATTAAACATTTTCTGTTGCTTTTACACAGCACTAATGGGAGCTTCTGAACACCCTTTATATCTTACCTTAAAGGCAGTTTTGTTTTTTTTTCACTTGCTTGTCTATTTTTGAGCATTATCTTGTTGCATAGTTTGCTGTTCAGGGATTGTGGTCACAAACAGGAATAATACAGTATTGATTTTTCTTCCTTCTAGGTGTAAATGTTACAGATCATGACTTGACATTTAAACGTCTTTCAGAGGTTCTTCAGGATAATGTTACTCCTTACGTAGTTTCATTGCAAGCCAAGGAATGTCCAGGTAGATATTGTCATTGTTTTGACAACATTCAAATGATGAATACCCTTACCTACAAATTCTATATTTTTTTTCTCAGTGTAAAAGTAATAGAAAGTAAGAATGCAAAAGACTTCAGACATCTAGTCCAATTCATGACCCAGTGTAGTAGTACTGTCCATTCCAGGCATCTAGTCTAATCTGTGACCAATGTATTATTCTCCTTTACATATTTTTAGCTGTGTCCAGCTTGGTTCAAAATAAGGATTCTACCACTCCTAATGCTAGCATTTTAGCTTTGTCAGCCTGTTAAATTTGGAATAAAGCTATTGCATACATAAAGATCTTAGAGTTGTATATTTAAACTAACCATATCCTTTTTTTAACACTGAAAGAAGTAGAGAAGTTTGAGATTTGTATGCTAAAATCTCCTTTAGTAGAGAACACTCTTAAATACCAATCCCTATCCCTTAACCATCAGCTCTGAGTCAGAATCATTTTTACAGTGAGGGGAATTGCATCTGTTTAAAAGAATTGCTTTACCTATTTGCAGAAAAACACTAGCCATTTTTCTCTAAATGCCAAGGACAGGCCTGGTGTATACGTATTGATACTATATGAAAAACCTACTAGCTGGCTCGTTTATATGCCATTACGAGTGAAGCAGATCAGTTCATCTTTTTAAATGCTTTTAAATTATTTTATTGCAGGCAGGAAACATCTTTAATACTTTCTGCCAAATATTTACATTTTTTTTCCTGAAACTCAAGGACTGATATCACTCCTGGAAATGCTACCAAATCTCTTAATTAGGCTTCTGGCCTCTTTTCAGGTTGATCTAACATTGCAGTAACAGTTCATGGTTCAAGGCCAGGGTGGGGGGAAGGATCAGCATATGGATTTTCATTCTTGATTCCTAGGCAAGATAGTAAGCTAACAACACAGTGTATATTGAACACTTAGTTGATGAGGTTAGGAATTTGTCTTGGTAGTTTGAGAATAATGCTCTTCAGGGAGGTAGGGCATATTGGAGAAAGTTAAAAATGAGAGAAAAGCAGGATAAACTTGAATAAAATGTAGATTTTGTTGTGTGGTGAGGGGTTTACAATTTTTGGTAACTAAAACGTTTCCTCAATGTGCATCTATGTGTATTGGAAAGGAATAAGGCATCTGCTGCAGAAGCTGATGGGACAGCTAATGGATTGTTATGTAGAAGACGACCAGTCTGAAGAGGAGGAATATGTTACAGTTTCCAAGAAAAGGATCCGCTGTTCACTGGATTCTCTTACCGACTGGTATGAGTGTGTAACAAAGGTAGGTTGTCATATCGCCAGTTTATGAAATGCCAGATTTATGGAGTCTTGTAGGAATTTAACTTCATAACCTGGGGTGTGGACACGTGATTTGTTTGTCAAGAGCAGTGTTGCCTGGCAATGGCAGTGTACCACCTCCCGGCCCATTCCATCATTACACTCAATCTGTTTGCAGGACCCCTGATGACCTATAGCAGAACCCCAGGATTCTGGGAAATGCATTTTGAAAACCGCTAAACCAGAGCAGTGACTTTTCAGCCAGGGTGTTCTGGGGTTCCATGCAATAGCACTGTTAGGTATGCAGATACTTACCCATGATTCTTACGGTAAACCCTGAGATTTCAAATAGGAATCCATGGTGTCAAAAAACTTTCTGACCTGTTGTGGTTTTTTTGAGCTCTGCAACAGAAGAACTTTCTTATTTTACTGTAGTTGAAAAATGGGTGAAAATTAAGCCCTGGCACTTTCTGAGGGGTGCCTTGAGTCTCAAAAGGTTGAGAACCACTGACCTAGAGTAATTTAACCTGGATCTTATCCTGCAGTAAATTTACTCTGTGGTAAGGAGCAGTTAGTTGTACAAACAACTCTCCCAAGCTTCTAGGCTAGTGGAGCACCTAGCCACTAGGTAGCAGTGGAGCGATTTCTACATTGAGCAGAAAGCTACCCCAGGCTAAAAACAAATGTTGAGTTATCCTGGGTCTCATTATTTTTCTCAAAACAATAATGCGGTGGATGTAGTCTTTCTGGACTTCAGCAAGACCTTTGACACCGTCTCTCACCCCATCCTAGTTAAAAAAACTAGGTGACTGTGGCATAGATGCCTACACAGTCAGATGGATTGCAGATTGGCT